TCTTGGGCGGGCTGAGAGGGCGGGGCCTAGGGCGGGTTCGGGGTAGAGTCTTGGGTGGGCCGGGGTGGGGTCTTGGGCAGCCCCTTCCTCCCCCACCCCTGCCCCTGCCTGGGTCCCCGTAGGAGGGGCTGGCTGCCCTCTGATCCCCGGCTCAGGGGCATGAACTGGGATGATGGGAAGGGCGGGTAAGGCCAGCTCAGGGCATGCATGCCCTTGCTTCTCTCCCTGGACAGACCCAGGCCCCTGCGCACTGAGGCAAACTGCTCACTACCCAGTTTGGTCTGTGCTCTGGGCAGAGGGCCGGGCAGGGCGGGGTTCTGGGGTGGGTCCGTGGCAGGGCCCTGCCCCAGGCAGCCTGCTCTTGCTCCCCACAGAAGCCTCTCCCAGCCAAGCCCCTCAGCATCCAGCGACATCATAGATGACAGCAGACCCCTCTCTGTAACACCCCCCGGGGGCTCCCTGTACACACACCCAGGGGAGCACCTTGTACAATTACAAAGATGCGGCAGCTACGCGGTGGGCTGGGGGAGTCAGGGGTCTCAAGGGCAGCCCATTGTGGAGGAAGGGCATTGAGAAGAGCACATTTACTTCCGCAGAATTAGGGACTCTGGAAAGCCGTGCAGCTCCCGCCCACCACCTGAGTCTGGGTTTTTGCAGATGGGCTCCCCTAAATCCTCGGGGTACACAACTTCTAGGAAGCCAGGCCTCTGACCCATGCGGCTGCAGGGAGGCGTCCTCAGGCCGTGGTGGAGCCCCCTAGTGGTGACCAAGCTCCTGGCCAGCACTCAGGACACAGGACACGTTCCTTCCAGAGATGCCCCGGAGCCACAAAGCCAAACGGTCCGGCCTGTGGGCTCCAACACACCCTCTGGTGGTCAGGGAAGGCAGGGAGTGTCCTCTTCCGCCCTCCGGCCCCCGCCGGCTGGCCTCCTCCATGGGCCTCACCAGACACAGCGTTGTTGGGGGGAGACCCCCCTGGGGCAGGTCTGGATGCAGCCAGATGAGGGGGTTCGAATCCTGCTCTCAGACTCTAGCCATCTGGCAAGATGCTAACCACTCTGTGCCTCGGTTTCCCCACCTGTGGGAGCACCAAGTTCATGATGGCATAGTGAGGACTCAGGCCAGGTCTGCTGGGGTGGGGAGGGGTCTTCCCAGGCAATCAGGATGGGCCCGGCAGCCCTGCATCACCATGTCATGGCCTCGTGTACGTGGCGGGCACACGGTGGGTGGGGGAGGTGACTCCCCTCTCCCTGGGGGCTGTGACCTCATCATGCCAGGCTCACTGTCCTCAGGGCCCAGGGTTGCTCAGCCTGCCAAGGGCAGCACAGTCTGGTGGCTGCGGACAATCAGGTGAGACAGAAAACACAGGCCTGTGCCTTGGAACGGGGCTCACGGCCGACGGAGATGCTGGACAGAGATGCTGGACCCTGAGGCCCCCCTCGGCAGGGCTCCCTTCAAAGGGCCCCGGTCACAGAGAGGGAGGAGCCTGGTGGCTGCAGGGCAGAGGATGGAGGTGTGGAGGCTGGCGGAGGGTCCGCACGCCGTGTGCTTGTCTCAGAGTTAAACATTTAATTAAAATTAGCTGAGGAACAAGAAATAGCAAAAAAGAAGATGGCAGAGGTCCGGGACATGCCTCGTCCAGGAAGAGGGGGGCTGCCGTGCCCCCCACCCAGTCCGCGGGTGGGATGCGGGGCTGGGGCTCTCCCTCCCTCTGCCTTTCATCCCCTTCCCTTCCCAGGTGCCAGCCTCCCCCACAGCCTTCATGCAGCACCCTGTGTGAACACCCCGCCCTTGTCCCCCGACCCTAAGCAGCGGCAGCAGCTCTCAGGTGTTGAGCAGGAGCCCAGGGTGGGGCAGGGAGACACAGCCCCCAGGCCCCCGTTGGCTCTCTCCCCAGGGTCGGGGGGCGTACTGAGGACAGGCTGATGGGCGCCTGGCCCTGGGAAGACCTCACCCAGGATAGGGTCACCAAGAGGGGTGGGGGAGGCTCTGGCCACAGAACAGACTGAGGGGGAGCTCAGAGACACACGCCCCACCCCTGACCTGAGAGGGTGAGGAGTCAGGGACGGCCAGGGGCGCGCCTGCCTCCCCAGTCCTCCCCGCCCTAGGGCGTCACACTGGCCAGTGCTGGTGGGAGCCCCAGGCTGGCTGAGAGGTCCCGGAGGTCCTGTGCCCTGCTGGAGGCTGCAGGTGGAGCTTCGGAGGCTGAGAGCACCTCTCAGAGGGCTCCCTGGAGCTGTGGGACCCCACTCACTCAGGCCTGGATCTGGGGCTGGGGGCCCGGCTACTGGCAGAGGGGTGCCCCTCTCCCTGCCGTCATCCACTAGGCGTCAAGTGGCACCTACCTGCCGTCACGAGGTCACTGCCTCCGGCCAGCTCGACCGTGGGGTTCCCCGAGCAGCGAGACCCCACCCGGAAGCCAGGCGCGGCAGAACGACTCCGGGGCGACCCCCGCCCACGCACAGGGGCGGCAGCCTCCGTTTACTCCCCTCACAGAACCCTGCTTAGCTTTGGGACCACCCGCGGTGGCTCCCAGGTCGGGGCGCCCCTGGGTCCCGAGGGAAGAGAGCGAAGCCCATGAACAGTTTCGTCCAAGCTGAGACGCAGCCGAGACAGCGGTTCCTTCCGGCGTCAGGGTCCCGGGAGCGCAGAGCGTGCCACCGCCTTCTTCCCGCAGCCCCTCAAGTCCCGGGCCCGACGGGCCGGGGTCTTCCCCCGACGCCCTGAGCGTCGGCCCCCCTGCCCCACCCCCAGACCGGGTGGGGCGTCATAAAAGCCCGCGCTCCCCATGGCAACCCGCTGGACGCCCCGGCACGAGGCTGGGCGCCCCGCTCTGCGGCACAGGCAGCCGCAAAGCTCCGCCCGGAGGCAGGGCAAGTGGGCCGGGCCTGGGGGCGGGGCGTGTCCGAGCGGTGGGGGGCGGCGGCGCGCGGCCAGGGCTCCCGGAGGTGGCCCGGGCGTTGGGAAGGCGAGTCGCTCGGCCGCCCCTTCCCGGAGTTCACGCCGGCCCCTCTGGGCTTTTCCAGCCGACGCGGCTGGAAACAGGAAACATTCCTGGCCCGCGGTCAGATCCAGGACCAAGAGCTTCCTCCAGCGGCCAGAGCAGGACTTGGGCCTGAGGGTCCTCACCTCGGCCCTGCCCCTCAACCTCGGGCACAAGCCCTGCTGTGCCCAGGGCCTGGTCTGGCTCCTCGGGCCCAGGAGGGTTGGGGCTGGCCTTCAGGGAGGGAGACAGACCCGCCCTAATCTCACTCTGCCACTTAGAGGTGCTTTCTCGGGCAAGTCACTGGAGCTACTGGCTGTCTCTGTAGTTAACCCCCGCCCGGGACCTGGGACAGCAGCTCGACATGCTGGCTCCTTCTCCAAGGACCCCAGCTTGCAGGGCCAGTCCTTGTGGACTTGTGGCCTGCCCCAGTGGGGCCTGGGACCGCAGCTGCATCCAGCTGTGCGGTGCACTGGCTGCCTCCCACTGACACCTGGAGCTGGGAACCTGGGCGGGGCGGGGGGGGGGCAGCGTGGCACAGGAGGGCCCGGCTCTGGGTCAGTGGTGCCCAAGCCTGGACTGAGGGCCAGCGGCAAAGCATCGTAGCCTCGGGCACCCAGCCTCTGAGGCGTTAGCATCACAGGTTTTCTTGTGGACGGTCAGCCCACCGGGGCTCAGTAACCACGACTATCCCTCAGAGCCGAGGCCTGGGCCACCCTGCCTCCCACACTGGCCCTGGTTGCCAACTGGACAGCCTTTGGGCGAGCGGGCTCTCTGCTCTGTGCCTGCTGTGAGGCGTGGAGGGTCACTGGGCAGTGGTGTCCCCAGGTGGGGTGCGGTGCTGCCCGCAGAAGCCCTGAGGAGCACATTACCCCATGTCGGATGGGGAGCCAGGCCTTTGTCAGAAGCTGGGGTTTCTGCCTACGTCAGTCTGGCCCCAGAGTCCAGGGTCCCTGCCCTGCCCTGCGTCCTCACAACTGTCCGTCAATAGTGCTTGCCCCGGATGTCCCTCTCACCCAGAGCGACAGACTGCCCGCTCGGCCCTCCAGGCCTCTCCCCACCTGCTCCTCCCCGTGGGCAACGGGCCTGAAGTTGCCCCGAGCGAGCCCAGGGCGGGCGGCAGAGGCCAGCCAACTCTGCCAGCTCACGCCCGCTCCCCACCCTCCCCTCTCAGACAATGAACTTCCAGGTGACAGGCCTGGGCCTGGACAGGATGAAGCTGGACAGTCCCCAGTCCTTCCTGGACCAGGAGGAGGCAGAGGAGGCTGAGGACCGGCAACTGCTGGAGCCCGAGGCCTGGACGACCTACACGGAGCGCCGCAACGCGCTGCGTGAGTTCCTGAGCTCCGGCCTGAGCCCCCAGCTGCTCAGGCGCCACCACGCCCGCATGGAGCTGCTCAGAAAGTGCTCCTACCACATCGAGATCCTCCCCAAGCACCTGGCACTGGGCGACCAGAACCCGCTGGTGCTGCCCCACACCGTCTTCCAGCTCATCGACCCCTGGAAGTTCCAGCGCATGAAGAAGGTGGGCACTGCCCAGACCAAGATCCAGCTCCTGCTGCTGGCCGACCTGCTGGAGCAGCTAGACCGGGGCCGCGCGGAGCTGGATGCCCTGCTCGAGTCTCCCGACCCACGGCCCTTCCTGGCGGGCTGGGCGCGCGTGGAGCAGCGGCTGGTGGACCTGTCCGCCGTCATGGACAGCTTCCTGGCCATGATGGTGCCAGGGCGCCTGCACATCAAGCACCGCCTGGTGTCCGACATTGGCGCCACCAAGATCCCGCACATCCGGCTCATGCTCAGCACGAAGACGCCCGTCATGTTCGACCGCAAGGAGTCGGTGGCTCACCAGGACTGGGTCGCCCTGCGCTGGTTTGTCACCATCCAGCAGGCGGCGGCCGAGCAGTTCGAGCTGCGGTTCAAGCTGCTGGACCCTCGGACACAGCAGGAGTGCCTGCAGCGAGCCATCATCCCCGTGGCCGCCTGCACATTCGACGTCCACAACCTGCTGCCCAACCGCGTCTACAAGTTCACCATCAAGAGGGCGGAGAGCTACACGCTGGTGTATGAGCCCTGGCAGGACAGCCTCACCCTGCAGACCCGGCCCGGGCCCCCCGACGGGCCCGCCCCCGGGCGGCTGGGCAAGCCGGGCCGCCCCTGACCACAGCTTCCCAGAGACGATTTTCTAATATTTATCCATTAATAAAGAGGAGTATACACACACACACACACACACTTAGACAACCTCCTTATGTCCGCAGGCGGCGGCGGCCACACCAGAGCTTTTCCCGAGTCGGCCCAGCCCAACCATGAGCCCCAGGCCCCCCTCAGCCTCTGCTTCCTTTTCCGGGGGACGGGGCCCGAGCTGGACCTCCCAGGGCAGCTGACCCCTGGAGTGGGCCTGGGGCCAGGAACTCGGGCTTTGTGCTGAGTCCTGCCGGTCCAGCCCAGAGAGGGGCAGGCTGCAGTGTCACCGAGGGAGGCCCGTGTGAGCATGCCGCATGGCGGACGCCTCGCCCGCCCGCCCAGAAAGGCAGCTGCCCAGAGGCCGGAGCGGCAGCGCTATGGCGGTCCTCAGCAGCTCAGGCCTCCGCCCCCAGCCCACCTGCCTCACTCAGCCCCTCAGTCCCCGAGGCTCAGTGGCTGCCCCAGCGGCTCCACCTCTGCACGCAGCTGCCCTCCCCCAGTCCAGCCCAGCTTCCCGCTTCCACGCTGCTGCCTGCGGGAAGCCCTCCCTGACTCCAGGCTGGAGAAGTCCTAACTCCCTGCCTCAGCTCCTTTTCACGAGATACGGTCCAGTTTGCAGGTGCTTTTACCCAGGTGGGGCACACCGGCTCATGCCCGGCCTCAGTGAGCCTGTGGGACACGAAGGCCCTGGGGACCCCCTTTC